CCAAGGCTGGAGTGCAATGGCGCGATCGCGGCTCACCGCAATCTCTCCCTCCCAGGTTCAAGCAATTCTCTGCCTCAGCCTCCCGAGTAGCTGGGATCACAGGCGTCCACCACCTCGCCCGGCTAATTTGTAATTTTAGTAGAGACAGGGTTTCACTACCTTGGTCTTGAACCTCGTGATCCACCCACCTTGGCCTCCTGAAGTACTGGGATTAAGGACATGAACCACCGTGCCCTGCCCCATGGAGAATTGTTACTGTAAGGTCCCAGGATAGCATGAGCTGGGGTGGGAGGGTGTGGGGGTGTGGGGAAAGGTGAGGGAGTGTCAGTTATTCCCTTAGCATCCCATTGCGAAGCACGTGAGAGCCCCTTGTCAGAGACATACATGCATTTATAATTTCTGTATAAATGATTCAATATACAGCTACGGGGCTAATTTCATGCTGTTTATCTTGTAACGTGGATTTTGTCTATGCTTCCCAAGTAATATTTTCATTTTAAAATTCAGAGTTTAGAAAAATGCCTTCAAATATTGTTAGGAGAACTATTCAAATCAGATGCCCAAAACTAGATGGCACATGCATTCATCTATGGTTGGATGGTTACCGAAGTAGTGCAAGAAATTTGAGCTGTTTCAGAACGCAGACATTTGTTAGAAACCTGCTTTCGGTCCTAGAGATTCACAGGTTTGGCCTGATTCTTGGTGAAAACAGAGCAGGGCTCCTTCTGAGAGGAGGGAGTTGGGAGGAATGGAGGAAAAGGCATTATGTTAGGTAGGGAGAAACCTAGGCTCCGGCCTCAGTGTGCTGCTCACTCACTGTCTCTTGATCTCTCTGGGCATTAATTTCCTCAGTCTACAGAATAAGGCAACTGGACTGAATCATCGATTCCAACCCTTCCACCTGTGATTCTAAACCATTCCGGTGCCTGTTCAAGGAGGGGTCAGACGGCCAACCAGGGAGACCCACAGGGGCCACAGCTGGCTGAGGAGACTCTACTTCCCCGATCGCCTTTGGCACCACCCGCCCCTGCGCGCCGCCTCCGAGAGCGCAGGAGCGAGCCGCGCGCGCCCGAGGCCACGTGACCCAAAGCAGCGGGGGCGCGCCCGAGCCGCCATGTCGGTGGCGCCTGGGGAGCCGGGGTCCGGGCCTGAGGCCGGCGCCCGATTCTTCTGCACCGCGGGCCGCGGCCTGGAGCCGTTCCTGATGCGGGAGGTGAGGGCGCGGCTGGCAGCCACGCAGGTGAGTCGGCCTCGGTTCGCGCCCGGGAGGGTAGGCGGCCCTGTCCCTGCCCCGTTTCCCTTCCAAGGCCAAGTTCGCGAACGCGGGAAAGCGACGCCAGCGCCCTTCTCGGCCTCACGCGACGGCCGCCGCCCCCCGAGGTTGATTGGCAGGCGCCTCCGCCACTGCCGAGAGGAGCCACCACGCCTTTCTTTCCCTGCGTTACAAATCCAGTTGCTCACCTCCCCCTGAGCTCAAGTTTTTAAAAGAGAGGTGTTGAGACAAGTTATTTCCTGGTTTCTTTAAAGTACTTAGTAGTGCCTGTAGTTAGAATCAGGCCTGTCAGGGTTAGAACCCTTCGCTCTTTAAATGCAGACGTAAGGCTCCAAGTTCATACCTGACTTTTTCTTAGTTTCCTGACAGAGATTGTATTTTACTTCATAGGATTCTTGTGAGGATTAAATGATACAGCGTATGCAAAGTACACTTTAAACACGCAGTAAATAGTAGCCAGAAAAATAATATACTCTTGCGTGCCTCATAGTTATCTGTTGTTGATTTCCATGAAATGAACAAGGTTTTAAGCGTGGGTAGGTTTTAGAACGTTGAAAGCTGGTTTCTTGAAAGTGGAGGATGAAGATATAATAGAAAAGGTATCTTGATGGGATATATGTGACAGTGAGTGATGTGCTCTTGGAAAAGGAGAGATTGCTAAATGAAATTAACCCCTCCACCCTGGCAGCTCCTACAGTATGGGAAGCCCACGAAAGGAATTTCTGCAGTGAAGGGTTGGTGTCATGGAGAATTATGTTAGCTTTATTAGACTACCTGCCACTTGTGTTTTGGGTCATAGAATTTAATAGAATATTGAATGTAGCTAATCTAAAAAAGCAACAATATATAACTGCTGACATTTATTAAACATTTAATATGTGTCAGGCACATGTTCTTAGATCCGTACACTATATTTATTTGCGTACTTTTCACAACAGCCCTACAGGGTAGGTGTTCCACATTTAATAGATGAGGAAAATGAAGCACGGAGAAGTCCAAGAATTTATTCAAGTTATGCAACTAGAAAATGGCAAAGATGGGATTGAAACCCAAGCTGTGAATTCAAGCATGAGTATATAATCACGTTCAAACCAGGCCACTATATGACATAATACTGCACTGGCTTGTTTTTTTAAATGTTGACTTAGAGTGCTTGGTATGAGAGATAGATGATTTGGCCCAATTGAATATGTAGGATTATTAGAAAAAGGAAAGACTTTATCTGGTTGTTCTCCATCTTCTCTACAGATGGGGAAACTTTATTACTAGGAAGAAAATTCAATTAAATACGGGAAAACTTTTTGACAGAGTAATTAAATGCCAGTAGATTTGGGAATTTCCATATTCTGCTCTTGTATGTTTTAAGGATAGATAGGTCTGGATATGGGGTCTGAACAAATAATCTCTGAAATTCCACCCCGGTGGCTCTAATACCAAGTGAACTCTCAAAGTTAATCCTGAAATAACAGTGATGACAACTAACATTTATTAACCACTTAAAGGTTAGACAAGTTGTGTGCATGTTATGATTTAACCCTCAAAAGACTCCTATGTGATAGGTCACTTTTACCTCAATTTTACAAAAAGAAAATTGGGACTTGTATCTGAGCCTCTCTAGCTTTAAAGCCTATGTGCTTTATCACTAAGTTAAATTACTGTGGGAATCTGCCCTGGAACATTGCATGGAGTTTATTTCTGTAACACCATGGTAGAGTATGCATGGGCTTTAGAACCAAAGACCTGTGTGTAGATCTTATATCTTCTTTTAGTAGATTTGTAACTTGGCAAATTACTCAAATTTCTGAGCTTCAGTTTTCTTGAATGTAAAATAGAGATGATGATAGCTACTTAAAAGGATTAATGCAATCCCTGAAATAAGGATAGATAGCACTGGTAGCATGGTGCCTAGTAAATAGTTGGCGTTCAATAAATTTTAGTTCCCATACAATGAGTTGTACAGAAATACTTAAAACATTCTTTCAATGACAAGACAGTGTTAGAAACATAGGATTACATCAAGGAAATTAATATTCTTAAATCTAAATTTACAAAACAGATTAATTCAAGAATGGTTTAAGAAAGTAATCACTCCATTTTAATCAGCATTTTTTCAATTTTCATGAACGTAAGAATCACTGGGGAAGCTTGTTGAAAATGAGTATTTCTGGGTGCCAACCCCAAAAGATTTTCTTTTAGTAGGGCAACTGATAAGCCCAGGTGCTACCATTTTAACATGAAAATGTGCTCCCCTCCCAGATTACTCCAACACACAGCTTGCAATGGAAAATTTCCTGTGTATTCTTTTTAGCTTTTTATCATGGAGAATTTCAAAAATATACAAAAGTAAACAAAATAGTATGCTGAATCCAGCCAGGCTCTGTGACTTACACCTGTAATCCCAGCGCTTTGGGAGGCCAAGGCAGGCAGATTACCTGAGGTTAGGAGTTCGAGACCAGCCTGACCAACATGGTGAAACCCTGTCACTACTAAAATTACAAAAAGTTAGCTAGGCATGGTGGCGTGTACCTGTAGTCTGGCTACTTGGGAGGCTGAGGCAGGAGAATTGCTTGAACTCAGTAGGTTGCAGTGAGCCAAGATTGCGCCGCTGCACTCCAGCCTGGACAACAGAGTGAGACTCTGTCTCAAAAAAAAAAAAAAAAAGCATATATATAGTATGCTGAGTCTCCATGGTGTAATTTAGCATGTTCCTCTATCTTCTATATTTCCTGTAAGTTGGAATCCTGTTAGTTGTATCTAGAGCTTGGTCATATTTGGATTTGATGTTTCCCTCCACCTCTGGTTGTATGGCAGATTTCTTCATAAGTTCCTGTATGTTGTTAAAGATCTAATTTACATATCTACAAACACATACATCACTTAGACTACTTTGAATAAATTAATATATTGAGAAAAATTAAGCTTTACTTTATAATGATGTTTAATATATTAAGTACTGCTATTTATTGTAAGACTAATAGTAGGAACAGTTATTTTAAGATAAAATTGAATGTTGTAGAGATGTCTCTAATGTCAGTTCACCAGAAAAGTCCCGTCAGTTGACTCAATGGTCTTTATAAACTCACATATCAAACACTATTAACACAGGTCCTGAATAGGCCACATAAATTTTTGTTTTTTAATGATGTCATGATGGTCGAGGGTAGTGAGGTAGAGTTAAGCAGAAAGACAAATTACTTCATAGTTACTTTTGTTTAATGGAATAATTACACAAGGTTGCCTTAAAGATCTCTGCATTCCCTTTAGATTGAATGCCTCTTTCTTCTGGAGTGCCTCATTTTGGCTCACTGCAACCTCCGCCTCCTGGATTCAAGCGATTCTCCTGCCTCAGCCTCCCAAGTAGCTAGGATTACAGGTGCCCAGCTAATTTTTGTATCTTTAGTAGAGACGGGGTTTCACCATATTGACCTGGCGGGTCTTGAATTCCTGACCTCACATGATCCGTCTCCCTTGGCCCCCCAAAAGGCTGAGATTACAGGCATGAGCCACCACACCCAGCCGAATGCCCTTTTTACAAATTAAGTGAAATGTATTTTTGATTTCCTTCTAAAATAAACCAAAACAAACTGAAACACCACCTTAACTCATCACTTAGCATTTTCAGATTAGCTCTGAAACTTAATGCATCTGTAGAATTAAGAGACCTTTGGTACCTCCCTATATCGTATGTTTTTGCATAGATTTAAACCTTTTTTTTTTTTTTAAACCGTGATAGGGTCAGGCTAGAGTACAGTGGCATAATCACAGATCACTGCAACCTCTATTTCCCCAGCTCAAGCAATCCTCCCACCTTATCTTCTCCCAAGTAGCCTCCTGGACTATAGGCACACACCGCCATGCCCAGCTCACTTATTTTTTGTACAGACAGGGTCTCACTATGTTGTCCAGGCTGGTCTCAAACTCCTGGGATCAAGCAGTCCTCCCACTTTAAATCTAGGCTGAATGTGGTAGCTCACACCTATAATTCCAGTGCTTTGGGAAGCGCAGCCACATTCAGCCTAGATTTAAACTTTTGACCTTTGTGTTAAATTTGAATCCATGAATTTTAAAAGAAAGAAAAATACTATTCTACCAGAAAATAGAGCTGTTATTACTTTAATAAAGACTGTTATTTCATCTTCATAAGTATTAGACATAAAACCAGCTGTTTTTAGATACTTGAGTATTTAATTCCAGCTAGAAAAACCAGATTGTACAAATAAATTTTCAGATAAGAAACATGAGAATGAAATATCCCAAAATGCCACATTTCTCCCTTGAGTGTTGTAATTAAATATGAACAGTTATAAGCAATAAACTAAAGAAAAAGAGAATTACTAGCTGCAGCAGTTTTTTAAATCATAAGAACCAAAATTCATTCTCCCTGCTGTTTTAAGATATAATACCTGTCTTCACAGTGAGTGATCTGTTTAAGTGTGTTCACAGATAGGATTATTTGATTCCCACAGTGACCACTATTTTACAGTTTAATAAACTGCAGTAAGTCCTTATTTAATGTCATCAGTAGGTTCCTGGAAACTGACTTTAAGCAAAAGGATGTATAATTAAATCAGTTTTACCATAGGCTGACTGAAATAAACAAGAGTTCCTACAGCATTTTTCCAGTCACAAAAATTTCACAAACTTCTAAATTAAGAGGTTATTTAGAACACTTCTAATAGTAAAGGCTGAAATAGCACTTGTAATATTAAATATTGAAATAAATGTAAGCTATACATACATTTAAGAAAGTTTGATAAAAACAAGTAAGATAATTATTAATCATAGTATTCGAGTTCAGTTATTCCAGGGTTGCCCCTGGCCAGAGCCTATCCTGGCAGCTCAGGGCACAAGATGGGAATCAGCCCCTGTGTAGGACGCCATCCCATTACCCGGACACTCACACACACCCACATTTACTTTCACTGGGACCATGTGAACACACCAGTGGACCTAACAGGCACACTCTGGGATGTCAGAGGAAACTGGGGTTCCCAGAGAAAACCCATGCAGACATGGCTCACCCAGACAGTAGCCCTGGCTGGGAATTGGAATTTTTTCTTATCAGTGTCATAATGAAAGGACATTGAATAAAACAGTGTTATTCAAGGACCTGCCCTACTTCTGATTACATGCTTATTACTTCTAAAAGAAATGTAGGCCTTATGATAATTCTTAGAATAATGTTGCTGCTTTTGGTTTTGAGAATGTATAATTCTTAAAATAATGTTGCTGGTTTGGGTTTCAAGAATGTATTTGGCATTTTGTTGCACCAACATACATTATTCTTAAGATTAGATGCTCTAAATAAACTTTTTAGGTCCTCTTAATTAACTTGATAGTCGTGTTCCTTTTGGAAACCACTTGACCTGGGGGGGAATATATATATTTAAATATATATATATATAAAATATATAAATGTATATATGTGTGTGTGTGTATGTGTGTGTGTATTAGTGAAAGTTCATTGGATAAAATGCTTCCCTTGATATTTGAATAAGAAAAGATCATTGTACAATTAAGTTACTATAATGTCTAGATCACTGGCTGCTTAGGTTAAAGCCACTGGTCTAGATGTTTGCATCATTTTACTTATTTACAGAATTTGAAACTTAAAACCATACATTTTCAGTAAAATACTCAGTTCAGTTCCTCCAGAATCTTGGCAAAGTATTTTATCTGTTAAATTGTTCTGTGATTGCTTTAGTATCAACTGCATTCTTAGATAATAAAATCTAAATTTTTGAGAATTTACATTTTAAAACTTTGTTTTCAAGTTTCTAAGCATTTTGAAGTATATACTTTAGTTTTGGGAAAATGTCACCTATGTAATAAGAGAGAAGTAAATTCTGGAAACCAGAAGTTCTGGTTTTGGTTACTTCACTATCCCCTTAAATATTGATTCCTAAAAGTCTTTTCATTCCCTGCATCCTCTCATAATGTCATCATCTGTTCCTCCATCTATTTTGGTCAGCTGCATTGCTGTAAGCTATTTGAGTTTTAATTGGTACCAATCTAGGGCTTCCTCAGAAGAGATTCTCTTTCATCAGCCTGGAGTAGCAACCCCAGAAATTACCATTCCAAGAACTTAATTAGATCATGTCAGATCCAAAACAAGCAAACACCCTTGGGGTGCAAGTACCCATGGATGGTAGCTGCCTTAACACATAGGAAACCCCCAATTCCCTGGTGTCCAAGGTCTAGGAGATAATTTAGAACTGCATTATTCAATTGTTGGCCACTGCTAAAAGAGAGCTAACTCCAAGAGAGCCCACATCCATCCTGGATTTAACAGGGTTGGGTTAACCCTAAAAGAGTTGATTCCATTGGCATGGAGCACCATTTGTCGCAGCACATTAGGCTTCCTATGAGTCAGTGCTCTTATCTTTTTCCTTCTCTTTTGCCACGTATCCATCCTGTCTCCAAAACCTCTTTCTGTTTGATGCATATGTCTTGCTTCTATTCATTATCCAGTTTCTGCAGCCAAGTATCTCATCATTTCTACCTCAGTAACCTACTTCTCCCTCTAGCATCACATTCTACACTCAGTCCTTTATGCCTCTTCTAAAGTAATTTTTTCTGCCAGCTAATTCAGTGCTGTCACAGTTTTCATCGAAAGTCTATAATGGTTGACCATTACCATCAGTGGTACTCAGAATTTCATGACCATTTGTCAGGCTGGCCTATACTGCATCATCCAGCCACCTGACACTATCAATCAGCATAATACAGCAAATGTTGCTAAGCTGACTTAAAGTTTACTTCAGCCAGGTTTTCACTCCCACTTCTGTGTCTGCCCCTTGTTCTTTTGTTAGAATCCTTCTTCCCAAATCTTACAGGATTCTTTCTCAAGACTCTGTAATGTCGGCTTTCATATTCATTGTTACTTAGTGTACTTACAGCTTGTAAATGCATTATAATGTTAAAACTTTTTAGTTTTCTTCTGGGTTTAATTCAAGTTAATTGTCTTATAAATCGTACATTTTAATGTGTATGTCAGTGTGTGTCTATTATTATTCAAGATATATGTTTTATGATTCCTAGTAGCCCACAGGTAGGTCTTCAATAAATATCCACCTTGGACTACACACCTAATTTGTCTGGTGCATTATACCTTTCTTTTGTCTACTTTTGGTGGTGATAGAATCTACCTTAGAGGGTTGTTATAAGGATAAGGAGGAAAATACTTATTCAGAGTTCCTAGTACAGAGCCTGACAAATAGTAGATGCTCCAGAAACGGTCATTTTTATTTTTAATGTAGATACTATGTCTTAAGGGGAAAAAATGGTTTTTACACTGACACTGTACTGCATTAAAAGCTGTTTTTCTATTTCTAGGTTGAATATATTTCAGGAAAGGTTTTTTTCACCACCTGTTCCGATTTGAATATGTTGAAGGAATTAAAATCTGCAGAAAGATTGTTTTTGCTGATTAAAAAGCAGTTTCCACTTATTGTTTCTTCTGTAAGTAAAGGTATGGCATATGCATATGCGTGTTTCTTTTACCCACACGATACATCGTACTCCAATATTTTTTCTGCTTGATAATTGATATGTAGCCATTTTACACTTTAATATTCATTGGCACATGTGGGATCATCAATTATGTATTTTTCTGTATTTCCTGAATATTATCACCTGATTGTAGAATATTTATTCTCTTTGCAACCTGCCTGCTGCCTTTTTTATGAGATTTTAATGCCTTAAGCCACATTTCTTCTTTGAGAATTATGATCAGGTATCTTCTCTAGAGATATATATGGTCAATTGCACTTATTTTGATTTAGAAATATTTAATAATCCAAAATGCATTATTTTACTGGTAAATCAGTGAAAATCGCCACCTTGTAAATTTTAACTGTGTTATATAATTGGCTTTTCTATTTCTGGGACCTTAAATGTTTTCAATAAACTTATGCCCACTTATCAAGCATTAGAGGTAAAGAGAGCATTAGAGATTATTTGTCCACTCTCTAAATTTTATAAATATACTGCTAAAACAATGTATGGATCTTTATAAAAGCAGCAAAAAATGGTCAGACACTGCAGGATTAAACACTGCCGTAAACTTCAATTTGAATTACATAAGAGATCATGTAATAACTATAATAAACTATTTTAAAAAGATGCAAATGGCAAGAAATCAAGACCATGCAGAAAAAATTGCTTTAAAGCAAATCCCAAAGTATTATACTGTGGGGTCCATATAATTTCTCTCTGTACACTACACACATTCATCTTTAAGGACTATAGTAATAATTTCTGGATCATCTTGATGACCCTGGTTCATCAAGAAAAGATTACAAGAAAAGATTAAACTTTGCTGAGCATATTGGCAGTATGCTAAGCTGTGAATGTGTTTTGCATCCAAAGTGTTAACTCTATGGAAACTCATTATAATATACTTACTAATATTATGTGGGCTAAAATGTAACAGGCCCAAGATTCAGCTCCTCTGTTTCTGAGCTGAGTTTTTCAATTTATTCTTTTCTTATATACACTTAATTTTTATAGGCAAGATTATAATTATTTCAAAAATTGATATACATTCTAGGTCTGTGTATATATTGAAGATATATATATATATATTACCATAGCACAAATAATCTTTCGAGAATACTATATGGTAATTCTGTAGGAATTTTAACACAATGTGGATGCTACCTATGCAACGTAAGAATGAACTTTATTCTGCACAATTTTCTTATGGTAAATGGAATGTAAATTCCAAATGAAAGTGAAGTTATTCATATAGCAATTTAATAAAACTTAATTCAAAGAAATAAAGGTAATAGAATTTGGAAGTGAGGAATGTAACATAGTTTTTAAAGCTTCAATATAGGATCAACAAGATTTTCTTCATTTAGGAAAAATATTTAATGAAATGCAAAGACTTATAAATGAAGATCCAGGAAGTTGGTTGAATGCCATTTCAATTTGGAAAAATCTTCTTGAACTTAATGCAAAAAAGGAAAAACTTTCTCAGAGAGATGATAACCAACTGAAAAGAAAAGTGGGAGAAAATGAAATCATCATTGCAAAGAAATTAAAAATAGAACAAATGCAAAAGATAGAAGAGAATAGGGACTGCCAGCTGGGAAAACAAATAGAAGAACAAACTCTGGAGCAAAGAGATTTTACCACTAAAAGAGAAAACTTTCAAGAAGGATTTCAGAATGACACAGAGATAGCAACTGATACTCGTAATCAGAATGACTTGACTTTCAGAGTATCTTGTCGCTGCAGTGGAACTGTTGGAAAGGCCTTCACTGCACAGGTATGCTTGCCTCCCAAAGTGGAGTCCCTTTTTTTTTTTTTTTTTTTTTTCCATTTGACCTTTCCTGGGTTGTATTTTTT